TACGTTTTTTCAAATCAAACTATTTGCTGGGAATTATGGTCTGCTATTATTTCTAGAGTTGATGCGCCAAACCTAATGGACGATGACGACATAATATTTGAAGATTTCACTAGATCGAGATTAAGAGGCAATGAGAATGATGAGCTAATCTTGTAATACGTGGTAATTTACAGTCTTTATAAGTTTATACATAACGCACGGCCGACTTCACTTGGCTTAAAGCTCTGAATTTTACACTGCCATCTGATCATGCTGGTCACGAAGTCTTTTTATGATGTATATTTTGGAAGTAATATTTTGTTTATATTTTTCAATCTTGTCTTAACTTTTCTTGTGACTCTTTTGTGATTTAAGATTTTTCAAAGCGAGGCCTCAATAAACAGCTCATTTGTATTTTAAATTTGAATTTATCTTGAATATTCTGTCTTCTTTTTACAGAATTTTTTTAACTTGCTCCAAGTTATTCTCGCTCTTAGGCATCTTTAACTAAAGTTTTAAATTTTGTTAGTAACGCAACAGTTTTATTATTGTCTTTTTTTTATATGATTATCTCGTTTGGTTCTTTCATGCTCTGCATTATTTTTCAGGTGTTTTGAATGCAAATGTGATAAGTAAATAACATTGGTAGACTGTAATGACCGTAAGAGCTAAAGTAATTCTTAGTACTGGTTGGTTTTTGTTATATTACGTTCTATACCATTTCAAAAAACTAGCCAGAGTTAATAGTTTTGAAGTAGTGTTGTCAGAATGAGCAATAACTGGGAATTAGGGGTGAAAGTTTTGCAGATGCCAATTTGATGGTTCTTTTTGGTACACGACTCTGCAAAAGTACAATATGATGTCTACGAATAAGTATTATGCCGTTACTGGCGTTTTATTTTTCGTATTGCGGGTCATTATTTTTTCTTTTAATATTTATTATTGTAGTAGCTTACTGTTGTTAATTCCTTGATTTGTTCCATTTGAGTTCATTTATCATCTAATTTTTCTGCTGTTGTTATTCAGTATTCATGATTCATATTTATTAATACAATAAATATCGTTATTTCAATTATTCCCGTTCTACTTTTTTTTATTACTTCAGTATATATTTTTGAATTAAGAAACGATTGGATAAAGCCTATAGTTTAGGAAATCAAGTCAATTATTTTCTGATGGTATTTTCTTCTATTTTGGTTTACAGAATATTTCGTGTAGCAGGTTTGCAAATTGCCTTTTATTGCTCATGGTTTCTAACGCTCAAGACACTTTATTTATTGCTGTTTCGTTATCTTCAGGTTTTTTTGGCGTATTTTTTGCGTAGATAAGAAAAGCAGAAGGGGAGAAACGTCCGTAATCGGGCAAATTGTGCGATCAAATTTGTCTAATTTATTGCGGCTTCTTTTTTTTAACATATAAGTGGGACATAAAGAAGCCTATGATTTGTCGGGAGGAGAACGACAATAGATTACGAGCCAGAGAAGGAGAAGTGGAATGTCTGTATCACTGTTGCCTTGTTGTAGTGTTGTAGTTTCTTTTGTTTCATTTTTTTTTTCCACAAACTTTTGCTTGTCTTGTGCTGTTTAACCTTTTTATTGTATGACTGTAATCGCCAAGTGTGCTATCATTCAGTTTTGTTCGTGTTCATTTTGCCTCGCCAGTTTGTTCTTTGAGGTCTTGCAATAAGTCATGTGCACATTTTTTGTTGGTCCATTTGTTGGTCACGGTATTTCGATCAAAATTATCTTTATAGCAACAAAGAAGACGGAAAAGCGCGGAAAAAAGAAGCATCAAAAATATCAGTATCAAAAAGTTTAATAAACTACTGTTCTCATTTTAAACCTTTTCTTCTTTGCACGTATTTGAAGATTCTTAATCTGGCTAGCATTCAGTGAATGGAGCAGCAACTTGCAAATATGCTCGTTGCTGAATGCTCTGCAATTATCAGTGCTGCTGTGTTACCAGAATTGTTGAACTTGATTGTTTTACTTCTTGCAAATTTATGATTATTTTTCATCAAAAGAAAGAAGACAGTAAGTGATTCAAAAATATTTTGTATATCAGCTATAATAAACAAAAAGTAACAGGTTTACAGTACATAACGAACGGTTACATTACTTTACAACAGAAACTATCAAAATATCGTTTTAACATTAACTAAAATTATTTGGCGTTTTCATTGGTCTGCTGGAGGGGGGAGGGGAGAAAAAAGTTTGAGGTACGGGTTTATAAGCTTACAAAAAACAGATTTAATAGCGCTATTTAATTGTTCTCTATGAAGCTGATACTGTTGCTTTCAACACTGTTGCCATCAAATCCATGCATTGCTATATGTTTGCGAAGCATTAATGTTAAATCGTATGCATCAACATCGAGATCTCGAGCTGTTCTGGTCATGAACGACACTTCAAGCGCTGGAATTGTTGGCAGGAATCTAAGGAAAAGAATCTGTATCTACTTTTTTATATTAAATTATCATTGTTACTATATAGAAGTCAACTCTTTGATTGTTTGATAATGTATCAGTCGTCTTTCGCTTTCAAAAATAGAGTCTGTTGTTAACAACTGTGCGGTAATTTTACTTTTTTTTTTATTTTTGCTCACAATAAGTGGCAACAATTCAGTATATTATAAAGACATTGTCACCTGAAATGATTGACTTCTGAACCAGCATATTTTTTGCCATAAACGCTTTCGACAAAAATCCTGTCAATCTGAAAAAGAAAAAAAATAAAACGGTCTTGAAATCGTGCCTGATTTTTAAGTGAATATTAACAAGGACAGTAAAAAAACCCCTTAGTGAACAACAAGATAAAAATCTACTGAAGCAACACCATTAAAAATGATCATTTTTAGCGGGCAAACAAAACAGAACAATACTAAATTGCACAATAATCTATTCATACCACTTTCTCAAACTTGCTAGCATGTAGGGCAAATTCATCGCTGTCCCGTTGCAACAGAAGTCCATCAAATTTGAGCAACGAACCCTCGGTAATCAGCATTCTTCCACTGAATTTTCGAGCAAGATTTAGACTTGCTGACGATACAGAGTGCACTGCAACAGTGAGTTACAGTGGTTAGGAAATTGTAGGCAACTTAGAGACGACAAAAAAAAAAAAATTAGTGGCTGATTGTGTGACTTACTTTTTGAGATTGCAATAATCGGTAGTAACACAATGGTTGATGCCAACAGTAACAGGACTGATATCCAGAGGAAAAGACTGGCCTTTGATGGCGGTTCAACAATCTTTTGCTGAACAACCACGTTAATAGAGGTTTAAAATTTCAAAATTTTAATATGTAATTCAATTAATCAGTTAAATTTTTGAATACTTCAAACAGCAAAAGAAATCTATCCAATTCAGTTTTACAGTTCAGTTCATCGCTTACGAAAAGAAAAAAAAAACGGGAAGAAAGAATACTGGAAATAAATACTCCAGAAATTAGTGGTTTAGGAGCTCCAACTGGCAAATATGGTTGTGCGATAACAAATGGCTGGTGCTGTTGTTGTTGTTGTTGCTGTTGTTGTTGTTGTTCGCCAGCATTAACAAATGTCCATCCATCTGCAGTCAGACAACACGGGTTAACATTTTGGTAAAGCGGTTGTGAACCTTAAACAGTTCAATTTTTATCATCAACAAATTGATGTTCAATCAAAAAAGCAACAATTCTTTTTTTTTTTTTTTT